AAGATCAAATATAGACTGTCTTTCTATTCCCTATGCCCAGTGTTTGGCACCTTAATGCCCAATAAAGATGTCTTTTAATAGAAGGAAACAGAGGAGGGAGGCAGGCAAAGAAGAAGATGAATGTGACCTCCTCTCACTCACCTGTACTGCTCTTTGGCCTGCATAACGACAAAGTCCCACTTGTAGTTAATCTTTTTGTTCAAGAAATTGTAATTTTCCTAGAGAAGGAAAACAAAATGAGAACAGCAAGTCCCATGACATAGGTGTGTCCAGCAGGTTATAAAGTCCTCAGTCAACGAGGGCATGTCCCTGGCTCCACGGCAACCCCTGCCCAGACACATCATCTCCCACTCTAGCTCTGCAGTGGTGTACATTCCAGGGGTAGCAGAGGAGTCTCAGAAAGCCTTCAACATGCCTTACTTTGGGGATTTGTTTTTTAAAAACAAACATATTCTAACTCTGATTAGGAAGTGAGGATTGGGGCTGAGGAAGGCTACAGAAACCCTATATTCAACAAAGAGCATCACAAATTCATCAACACTGAAATCCTTTTTACCTTTTCATACTCTTCTAAAATGCCTTTCTTCTTGATATTTCGTTTGGCTAGATAGATGGCTGGAAAAGAAAATAGTGGCATTTTCCATCATTATAATACAAAGCCACACCTGCAGCCTCCTTATGCATAAGGCTGCTATGCTCAGCTTGGCGGAGAGAAGGCTTAGTAGACTAGGTCCCTTCCCCCTGGGGATACTCTCAACACAGATGTGAACTGACATAAAGGTCATGATGACAGCAAGACAAATGTCACCAGAATGCAGCAAGTAATAGCATGTTAAGCACTACTCAGGGTAGATCTTGGGGCCAAGATTTACCATAGTCCGTATCTTCAGCTGGCCACTGCTGGGTGGGCCAGAAATATGGCGTCTACAAAAGAAACCAGGGAAGCCATGTTTAGACACTTGGTTGTGACTCCTCACGCTCCCAGCTCAATGGTTTAAGAGATAAATCTATATCTTAGCCCCCTCAACCATTTCAAAAGTCCTAATCTCTGAGAATATGAAGCCAACACTTATCTTTTCAATAAGATGACAACCCATGGAGTAGACCAAAGTCAAGGCCAAGACTCACCTGAAATCGGTAGAGACTGCCGTCAGGTTTGAGAACAAGATTCTTGGGGTCTTGCAGCGGGTAAATGTAGCCATACTTGACAATAAAGTTGCCCAAGTTCTGGGCCTCTGGGAGGAAGCAGTTCAGACATAAAACTTAAAAGCAGGGTACCAAAGACAGAGCCTCATTGCCCAGCCTCCACAGACCAACCCAAACTCCAGGAGATATGTTTCCTCCTGTAACACTGCATCCAAGGAAGGAGGACAGTAGTCCTGGTCCTCACTATGCAAAGTATCAGCTGGGAACGTGCAAAAAGGAGGACGCCCAGCCACAGCCCAGCAGGCAAACGCAGCATGTCTGGAGTGGAGCCTGGGAACCTGAATTTTAACCAATGCCACAGGTAGTCCTATGTAGGTGGTTTGAGGGTGACCCTTGGAGAAACCTTGAAGAAGCTTCTTCAGGTCCCTGGGTCTGGAAAAGACCAGAGAATTTGGGAGAGAGTGTTTGTTTGGCTCACACTCTTCCTCGCTCAAGGAGAAGTTACTGTCAACTTCTATCTCCAGCTCACCTCCACCTCCGTCCCAGGTCCAGATCCCCCCCCTCCTCTCCACCTCACTCTAATTCCCATACCCCTCTGGTCTGTTTGGAAACATAGCCTCATTTCTAGATTTGCAGAAATTAAAGGAAAACCTTCCTAGTGCTTTCTTAGAAGCAGTTGTGGCCAAAGCACCAATGAAAATCTACATATTCCCATACTGGAAAGGGGACTCAGCTCTACCAATCCTCCAGGCTCACCCCACCCTCTGACCAATCCCAACCCATCCCAGTATAGCCTCCAGGGCTTGGGAAGACTTTCTTCCTGACCCTCCCTCTTCAAGCCCACTCTCTCTATCACAACCAGACCCTCTTTTTTTTTTTTCATGCTTTGTTATGCCAATAGTCTTTTCTCTCGTAGGAATGCTGGTCCCCAGATTCTTTCGGCTCCAATCCCTCCCTCAAACTGCTGCCAAATCTCCTAGATTCAATATGACAATTATATACATCGTCATATCCAAAAGTCCTCCATGGTTTCTGTGGTAGTTAATGTTATGTGTCAGTTTGGCTGGGCCTAGTTTGAGTGGCTGAGCAATTGAATGCAGTGTTCCCCATGAAGACACTGGTAATCAACTCCATGACGGAGTCTACTCGAGCAGCTGAGTAGCTGCTTTAGGGATGTGGTCTGCTTTGAGTACAAAAGAAGAAACATTGAGAAAGGTCTCTGCAGCTCTTTGGCATGCTTGGACCTGGCACGCAGCCAAGTCTTCAGCAGCCTGCCATGCCCTGCCAATGTGGGACTTTTTCTGGACTTGAACTAGTGGCCTATCGTGTTGTTTGATAATCTTGGGAATGTGCCTTTTCACTTGTTGACTTTGGGTTTGCCAGCCTCAGCAGCCAGCAGCTGTGTGAGTCAAGAAAAGCCTCCAGCCTCAGTGGGCCAGGAGCAAGAGGCAGAGCTAAAGCCCAAGGTCAAGAGGCTTTCACCCAAACCCTAGATCTGGCACTTTGAACTTGGACTTCCACCCTCCTAAGCTGTAAGAAAATAAACAGCTGTTGTTCAAACCACCCATTTGTGGTATTTTCTGTTAGGGTGGAACAAGAGAACCAAAGCAGCTTCCTATTGCCTATCTCCCAGGCAAAACTTGGAACCTGTAAATATTCCTAGTGTAGTCTCACTGCTCCTGCTCCATACCCAGCTGACGTCATTACTTCCATTTCCCCTCTGCTGTGGATTAAATTACCAAAAAAAAAAAACCCACTGCCATTGAGTTGATTCTGACTCATAGTGACCCTCACTGGGATTCCAAGGCTGTAAATCTTTACAGAAGTAGGTTGCTTCATCTTCCTCCAACAGAACAGCTGATGAGTTTGAACTGTTGACCTTCTGGTTAGCACCCAAATGTCTTGCCCACTGCATCACCAGAGCTCCCTGGGATTAAATTATGTCCCCCTAAATAAGTGTTGTAGACCCTAACCTCCATGCCTGTGGCTACATGCCTATGTGGGAATAAGTTATCTTTGTTATGTCAGTGAGACAGGATTAGTGTCAATCTCTTTTGAGATATAAGAGATTAAACGAGCAAGCAGAGCAGAGATAGGGGAAGAAAGATGCCAAGCCTCATGACCATTGCCCAGGAGCAGAAGATAAAACAGAGACAATGAAGAGAGAAAGCCTTCCCCACAGCTGGCGCCTTCTAGCCTCCACAACTGTGAGAAAATAAATTTGTTTGTGGAAGATCCGCGTGTGGTGTTTCTGTTGCTACTGCAGTAGCACAGGAGCACCAGGGCAGAATTAGACACACGGAGGTCTCCCAGGGGCCAGGAAGCAGAGCCAAGGAGCACCTTCCCCGGAGCCGACAGAGAGAGAGCCACGCCTAGACCCAGCACCTTAGATTCAGACTTCTAGCCTCCTAAACTGTGACCGTTAAAGCCACCCACTCATGATATTTCTGATATAGGAGCACTAGGTAACGACACTACCTGCATTACCACCCACTCCACTTCTTATTCCTTCACTTCTATGACATTGATCTTGCTAGTTTCTCCTTCTGAGAATACTCTCCAAGCTCCTTTTCACAACATCCCTTCTTTCAGAACTAGTTGTATGCATTACCCCCCCAAGAAGTCTTTCCTGATTGATTCTTCCCCGATTACAATGTCATTTACCTTCTCCCAATTATTTTGTTCCCACATGATTATGCCTTAGTTTTTTATTCTAGTTGATTCACACATGAAAGTCTTGTCTCAACAATTAAAATGTAAACTCCTCAGACACACAGTCTAGGCCTCCACTGAGTTTCTACCTTCTCAAAGATTCCCACATGGTGCTGTGCACCCCAACTGCTATCGAGTTCACCCCAACTCATGGCGACCTCATGTGTGTCAGAGTAGATCTGTGCTCCACAGGGTTTTCAATGGCTGGCTTTTTGGAGGTAGATCATCAGTCCTTTCTTCCAAAGTGCCTCTGGGTAGACCTGAGCCTCCAACCTCTCAGTCAGCAGCCGAGTGTGTTAATTGTCTGCACTGCCCAAGTGCTCCACTGTGCACCCAACAGTCCTCGGTAACAGTACTGAGCGGACTCTCACCCAGATTGGAGATCCACAGCCGCTGGACAATCCACTGCAGAACGTCACTGCCTGTAAAACAAGAATGTTTGGCCATTGTCATAGTGGCCTGAGGCACGTCCAGCCTCCACGCCCTCCTCTACCCTGCCGACTCAGTGTCAGTGCTCAGAGCTGGTCTCACCCCTGTCGGGCTCCAAACCTTCAAAGACTCCCCACTGCTTTCAGTCCAAACTCCACAGCCTGTACTTCAGGGTCATCTGTGATCTGGCTCTGGGCAGATTTCAGCTTAATCGCTCCTGCACACACCCAATCTTGAGCTCTCTCAGGGTATTTATTTTTACCTACAATAATTTGCACATCAATAATTTGTTCATCAACCAGCAAGTAAAGAGAGTAAGTCTTAACAATGAAAATGCACAGACCAGGGCACCTGTTTGAGGGGCTCTGATGGGAGCTCTGGTGGCATAGT